CGGATTGTTTGGCTGCGTACTGGATATTGTTAGTTTGACTTCTTTTTGCCCAAAATCAGAATACTCACATAGTCCAGATCGTTCAGCGAATTTTGGCTGGTGTAGTTCGCAGTATAGCCCAGAGGATATGTGACCATAACTACATCGGCTTGTTTAACAACAGCACTTCCATTCATGGTAGTGAACTCGAGAGTGACCTCATTTTCACGAAGCACCAAGACATTGTCAGCCATTTCATCCCAGGTAGCATTTTCTTCGAGTCCAAATTGCTGACGGAAGACGTTGGCGTGTCGGAGGGTCTCGGCAATGAGTGGCATTGTGTAGCCACCCGCATCAACGTGGTTGGCATACTCATCCTACTTTATGTTAGATTTAGATGCTAGAAAGAGATGGGGCGGCCAACTTACAGGGTCGGTCATGTTGGTCAATGTCCAGTAAGACCCGTTTCGAACCAGCAGATCCGCATAGAGAGTAGCCGCCGAATCGTAGACTGGGAAATGTTCTTCTTTGAATGCCCTTGTATTACCACTTGTAACCCATTGGTTAACCAAGGAAATTCCGATGTCTCCGTTCAGGTGATATTGGTAGTCCCAGCACGCGCCGGTAGCTGTGCAGTTGCCAAAGCGGCCACTGGTCCAAGGGAAGATTGCAGCCGACGGACTGAAACGTGTCTGGTTCTTAGAGCCAGAAAAAGCAGTTTGGATATTCTCCTGTGCTTGAGCATACTTGGCCACGCGGAAATTGGTGAACCGCTCGGACGCTTCTGGGTGAGAAGCAACAAGACCAGGTTGCATCCATACATCCGCATCCCAGAAGACTTGGCCACCATAGGAGTCAGAAGTCAAGCCACCAACTGAAATGCTGTCCACGTTTATCGGTGCTCCCGCGGCTTCCTTGACTGCGTTCTTGCCGGCAGTATTCTGCAGCAAGTAGTGAGTGCTGGTCACGGAGATTACTGCCAGATCAATGATGTGGCTATCTGCAGGCAATGTCCCGTTGGGGAACGCGTAATGGTCAACCGAAGCGTCAGGCATAACATTTTCCCATTCCACGATATGGGATCGAAGAGACTGGGCGTAGCCGTTGCTCATCGCGGCGGAGGTAGCCTTTTTGGCCGTTTGCTTGGGGTCAACAAAGGCATCCGTGGAGGCACCTCCGACATATTTGATGACGCGAACTAACTGACCAGGCTTGAACTTCACATCCACGGCTTGCGCAATGGACGATTTGTTGGAGTGGACATATGGTTTGTCGGTCACAATCTTGCGTGAAGAGAGATCCACATTTGGCGACCCAGTGAGATTCGCGTAAACATAAGCTGTGACATTAGCAATCCCATTCGGTCGGACTGCCGAGAAGATTGCACCATTGTCCTCTCCAGTCTCCACGAAGTCGGTGCGCACTGCAGAAGCTCCATCGATCACATTGGCGATGGTCGCATTCGATTCCGTAGTCGGGATAATCTCCATCTCGACCACAGCCTGATTGACGTATAGCTTGTGGGTGAGAAGACGATAGGTAATCTGGTAAGATCCCTTGTTGCCCCGAGGCGTCCATTTGTAAGACCAGACCAAGACACCTGCTTTGAAGTCGTATGTGGTTCGGAAATTAGAGATGGTCTCGTTGTCAACCTTTGCATCCAAATAGGTGTCATCACCAAGATCCAGGATGATTCCCGCCCAGTGGGGGATACCACTGATCACACTGTCATCTCCATATTGGGATAACCAGGGGAAGTTGCTGCCATTTGTCGTAGGCTGTGAGTCAAAGAACCCACTGATCGTTGCAAAGGTCTGGCGTCTAGAGAACAGCGGCCAGCCGTTGGTGTCATCATCGTGGGTATCAATTTCAAAGAAAGGACCGACACTGGCAACATTGATACCCAGATATCCGTTCGCTACTGATCCGCGAGATTGAAAGCGACCCTGTTCCAAGTAGGTTGAGCTCAGAAGCCAGTTGTCTTCGTCCCAGATCACACCATCAAAGCCAGTCTGGTACACATTGTTGCTGAAGTTGCCTGCCGAGGTAGAGCCTGTGTGTTCTCTGAAGCATCGTGTGATACGACTGGAGGGAGAGCCGCTGACAAGATTCAGAAGTAGCGGCAGTACCGCACACGTGAAGGACTAAGCATAGCGTTAGAGAATTAGTAAGGACGTACGGGGATATAAACTCACTTTGAACCGCATATTGCAGTTTTACCACGTTGCCGACCAAGTCAGATTCTCGAATGAATCAAAATTAATTAAATAAGAAGAAGTGATCGGTACTGTTCATGAGGTGAGGGGAGTGGAGGAAGTAAGACGAGGGTTGAAGGAAAGACAAGAGATTTAAGGGCACCTTCCTAAATCAGCACGAAGTGAGAAGATCTACCTACGTACCTACATTATGTAGGTAGCAATTTAAAAATCTTCCCTGGCCCTGAAGGTATGGTGAAATGTGGGGAAATAAAGTCAAGCTTACTGGCCCAGTTCAATATTCAGAGGACCGTTCTCAGTTCCAAGGTTGGTTATACGGGAGGTCTGGCATCAGCCAAGGGAAATATCGTACGAGGTTGGCTTCGCACTCTGTTAGACGGCTTCCAACGGGAGAACGGGGAGATGCGGGGCAACGACGAATGCGATCATATTTTGAGTCGAATATTTGGCTATTGGCTGTGAAGGCCGAAAGTTTCCGTCGGCATCCTCCACGGCCAAGACCTACCCGGCTTGGGATCGGGCCACCCCAGATCGTCGTCATCGACTGCAGGGAAGGTCTGGTGCGAGGGATTTTGTGGGGAAGTTGGGGGTTCTATTAGTAAATTATCTGACAAAATCCCGTTTGGGGGTCATCAAGTTATATAAAGATCAGCTGATCATCAGATCAGGGAAATTATCAGAGGATCTCAAGGTTAATGTTCTTGAAGAGTCATCAGGAAGGATGAAAGTTCAAAGGGTCGAAGTTTGAGGTTGAAGATTGTGGGGAGATGTTGATGCCTCAGGTATCTATCTATATCAACAACCATTTTAGACCATTTTAGTTTATGCCTTGGATATACCAGTAGATGCATTTCAATATGTTTCCAAGTATTTGATTCCTTTTTTCATATGGTTTCCAAAATCATGTTTGTACGCGACCCTGTATCGTACAAAGCCCATGACCCTTCTTGTGCACATGATCTCCAGTAACTATGTATCTACATTTGGAAACACAAATCAGGTTGAGCCTTGTCAAAAAACTCAGGGATGGGGTCGTCACGAGGCGGGACATCGCCTCAGGTCTCACTTCAGGCAAGCTGACAGCAATTCTCGCTCGATATTTTCCCTATCACTCATCCATTCGTTACTATTCACATGGACATGGTCACGGCGCGAACGCACATCCTAACGCTTGGTTAAACAGACTTGTCAAGGCTCAAGACAAGACTTATCTACCACATCAGTGGAGGTTCAAGTCTCTTCTTGTTCTTCCTCATCATCGTTCCCGTCCTCGGAGATTTCACCAAGAGCACTAGGCGCAGCAGACGAAGACTGTCTTTGTCGTGGAGCGGCGTTGCTTGGTCGCGGGTTCACAGTGAGCGCTCTTTCGCCCACGAATTTATTACCGGGCCACTCCTCTTTGCACACAGGGCATTTTTCTGCTTGCTGCATGCGGAAGAAGTTGCGCATGCAATGGTCATGAAGTCGACCCTTGCACTCACGGATTTCACAGCGTTGACCCTAGAGTATCTCGGTCAGGATTGTTTACTAATTTGGGATCAACCATACTTACCACAGTGATGATGTCTTTGCAAGCAGCACAAAATTTAATCCGCTCCACATCTTGGCCATTGGGAGTCTCGTCATTATACGTCAGGACCAACCAGCCCCGTAACTCCATCAGTGCTCGTGGTGTAAGGCTGAGGTAGCCCTTCGGACTCTTCTGCAGCCAGCCCTCTTCAATCAAGTGAATGATCATGGTCTCTGCTTGGGTCATACGCAATGACTGTACCGCTGCAGTTTGAGTTTGTGTTGAATCGTTGCTCGTGGATTGCCGTTCGCTAGATGGAACCTTATGGAGTTGGACAGCTTGCATCTGTGTAGCTGCCATTCCTTCGCACAATCGGGTATTATTTGTGACAAACATGTAGTCAAGCAATCGCTTGAGAAACGCGATCTCGTCGGGAGAATAAGTGGTCGCGAGTTGCGTCAAAGGATCACTTGTAGTATTTACAAGCGCATACAGTCGCTTTGGTGGTGTGGCCGGGGTATCTTGTTGGGCTGGTTCGGGGACTTGGGGCAGTGAGCTTCTGATTTCAAGGTCAAAGGGTGACACGGCGGTGTTAGCCACCGATATAAAGTCTGCGAATTGGTCTTCCCCAACCTCATCAGGATCCACTGTTCGCCCCTCTTCTCGATGATTTCAACGTTAGCGACTACCACCATTACTGACAAGGGGCTTAAATAGGAGCCAAGTACCAGAGACTGTTAATATCGCAGCCAGGATGGGTTGCGCATCTTCAAAGGTCATAGACGAGCGTGCCATAAACGCCTGGAGAAAGGCACGATTGCTGTCGTTGTATTCGGTCATATTTTCAATTTTGACTTCTGGTCATGAGGTCTCAGAGGGTGTGATATCAGTCAGTTCGGAGTCCTTTGTGCCAACGAGACACTCGCTTTGACGCGATCAGACGCGCTCGCGTGGCTGTAGATGAAAGAAAGATAAGAAGGTCCGATAAGGATGCTTAGTAAATTTATTCATTCCTGAGGCATCAATATCCTATGTGGTATGAAAAGGTCTGTATGGTTCAGGACAGAATTGTTACTAGAGGGGTTAGCATCAGTGTTGGAAATGCGCTAGCAGGGATAAAGACGCAGGGTAATAGTGCCCGGGCAAAGTGCAGATTATTCGGCCAAGGATAGTAACTATGTGTTGTGATACTACAACCTTTGTGTCGAACGTCTGAACATGGGAAGAAGCCAAAGACGGGACAATACTTCCAAGGTTCTCAGCTTATTACTAAGATAGATGGCGATGTCATGAGCATGCACTCCTCTTCATACGTCGCATCAACCTCGGTCCCAAAACCAAACCATCAAGCGACTCCCACGAGATCTATGAGTGTGCCAACGACGACTGCACAGCAGACAACATCCGGCTCTGGCTCCGGCTCGGCCACCTCTGCTGGTACTGGTGTTATTGGGGGCGCTGCAGGTGCCAGTATTATTGGAGCCGGTGTCATCTTCCTACTGTGGAAGAGGAGGAAATCACACCAGCAAGATGGATTGAATGAACCAGGGAATATCCGATACGACTATATTCCGAAAGGCCAGTCGGATCACGTTGGGAAGTGAATGCAACATCCTGCAGAGGTTGAGGCAAATGACCCGGTCCATAAGGTTGCAGAGGCACCGGGAAGCATCCCTCGCAATGTATCGCAAGAAGCTGATCCTAATGCCTTCATTGCCGAGCTACGGGCATTGGATGTTGGAAAGCACTATTGAGTGTGATAAGAGTGGTGTTGCAAAAAAGGATATTTCGGGTATTTATGTATGATCCATGAAATTATTAGTCGATGCTTGAGACACATGTACTATTATCCGTGTGGAGTTTTATTGAAATATTGGTAATTGGTGATGGGATAATTGCAATTTTCTAATAGTGCCTCATGAATTCATCATGCTAGAGAGAATGTTCAATCTTATCCCTTTGAATTGGTTGCCTTGACCGATATCACACATTCAGGTGCTTGTCAACGTACAGGATTGGGCTTCAACTACACGTAGGGAATTACTGAGCAAGATTTGTACATGCAGCCTAGCTGTGAGTTGTATTGATCGCACAAGTCTGATATCATGAAACGCAAATGCCAATCAGCAAAAGAAAAGACAGACCGAAACCCCATGTCCTAGATGCGCCGCTGCGCAAAGGAAAATGGAATCGAACCACCGACTGATATCGCCGAACGCCAAAAGATCGAATGTAGTGAAACAACAATGAAAAAAATCAAGAGTCGTGGTGCACCTAGTATCGTCGCCGGGCGGGCTCAGGGCTGGGGGTGCGGCTGACACTGCGAGGATCTCTGCCGCGCTCCTTCAGCCACTTCTTGGTGCTCAATCGAATCTCACGGTCAAGTTCAGGCGAAGGATCTTTGCGGTGAATGAAATTGCAGAAGCCCCCTCGTACACACCCTTCACCGCTATTGAGTCGACAACAGGCTTCTCGGAAATCCGTGACAGGTGATAACTCGCAGTAGATCGGTCGCGCTGCATACCAACGGGAGTTCAACGCGTCACATGCTGCCTGCGCATCTTCTTCGTATTTGAATCGACCGTAGACGTTACCAATGAGATCTATTGTCGCGAGACCTGATGTCAGTAGAGAATCGGACATTTTCAAGAGAGCATTTACTTACGGTCGTTGTTGTTGTCGCAGATGACCAACTCTTCGATTTCGCCGTACTTGCACAGCTCACACCATACGTCCTCGTAGAAGGCGTCGAAGTGGTTCTGCATCTGGCTGGGGTTCATCTTGTTCTTTGGGTCGTAGGCCGGGTTCTGGTACATGTTCGGCATGAGAATGGTTTGGGAGTACGAAGGCTTCACATGCTTGCGAGAGCAGCGGTCGCCGTGTCGGCATGCGCCAATTTTGTAGTAGAACGAACAATTGACTTTGTCCTGTTCGGTACCGAAGATGGATGCAAGGTAGTTGGCCATGGTTGGTTGCTGTCAAGCTCTGGTATTGGGTGAGGTGGATTTGAGAGAAAGAGAAATGAGAGAGCCTCGGGTCACAGAAGAAGCAGACACAAATGAAACGAGGGCGAAGTTGCTTCAAAGGCTGGGTGATATGAAGTTTCTGGAGAGCTTGAGTGGCGCGAATAACTGGATGACTAAAACTGGGGAGCTCGCGGGTAGCCGGATTAACTATATTCCGAGTTGTAAAGTCGGACGTGGATTTGGTGAGGATTTTCCACCACATACCTTCTGTATTTCACACCTAATATAGGCAAAACATCCAAAAAATACACAAAAAAAGGCTTTAGAAAAAGACTACTAAGGAAATTTACTTAGGAACAGTTGTCTTTTTCCATACCTACAGAGTTAGATACCCAACTAGCTACATGGCTTCCTCCCGACACTGAGGACTGATTTGGCATGGTCGACAGCCTTGCCGGCGTCAGGTGCAGAACCGGGCCAAAATCGACTTGATTGAGTTGATATTATTCCTAAGCTGGACAGTGTGGGCTGGACATTTACTATCATGAGTTGCACTGGGGGTAGTAAGGCTCAATTGCAGGCATATTTTGAATCAGTCGAATTGGCCAATAACAAAGGGCGAAAGAAAGGAGAAAATGGGAACACAGAGAGTATAACGAAGTCGAGTTTCTCAATCTAATTAAAGACTATGGAGACAAAGTTATAAGGCATTTCAACTTGTCTATAGAACAACATTTTATTAAAACTGATACCTTCAAGTCTCTGAGATCTTGCATGGACTTGTCCAACAGAATCATGAGCCAATTCCAAGACCAAGAGTGACCATTGTAACGAAAAAGTCGAGTCGAAATAACGGCACAGATAAAGAGAAGACGTGAAGGAAGAAAAGAACTTTGAAGAAAAGTGCTATAACTTGGGTGGGCGCTTCTGATAGAACTTATGATTGTGTTCAGATCCTCCGCATCCTGGTCTAATGGGTTGGGTTGGTCCCTGGGGATGTTGATCCCATAAGGATTGGTTTGTGTCAACATCAGCTGGACATTGTGGTTGTAATTGATATTCGGGCTGGTTGGCCCTGTCAAATTATAGGTTTGTTGTGGTGGAGTTTAGGCCCTAGTGGGTAGCTACAGGGTTTGACTAACGTTTAAAGCAGCGGATGGTTGCAGCGATTGCAGGGTATATCTAATCGTCAGACTAATTCCGGTGGTCTCGTTGTGTTTGACAGTCACATAAGGTATACGGGTGCTAGTTAGGCAATGAATACACTTCAATGTAGGTTGGTATGCTGTTCTCCTTCGGTACAGGGCTCATCGTAATGGCAAATTGGCCCTCGCTGTACAACAGAATAGCCTTGCTTTTTACAATGGGGTGGCTTCAAATTTCAGACTATCAAGCAAATGATTAAGCCACATGACTTCAACGCCTGCTAATGATATCACTGTGTATTTAGCTTCAACAGTGGACTCTGCAGTACTGGCTTGACAAGTTGCTTTTCATATGATAGGTGCATCAGTCCTGCTTGCTCCCATCGCCCCTGTGCGCATTCAGAAGAGATGTGTAAGAGAACCATGTGGCTACGATGTTGTTTTGTTAAGTGATTTTGGGGAAAGTACGTCTAGGGGGATATCCGGATCTCTTTCCTATTATACATAATACTCACAGCTTGGGACTAGGACTTTCATCCTGAACGGCCAAGCCACTCACATCTACTGAAAGCTTTTGCTTTTTGATCATCTCAGAAACAACCTTTCCAGTGCCCAAACTCAGTGAGATTCCCCACGCTCCATGCCCAGCGGCTATGAAGATGCCTCCCTTGGGGTTTGCTTTCACTCCTCCCAGAGAGTAATCTCCAACTCTTCCAATGGTGGGAACACCAGTATCCCCCACCGGACGGAAGCACAGCCCTTCACGGATAATCTCCAAGTCATCTGTGTTGGCCGTCTTGTCGGTAGCCTCCTTTGTGTCCTTGGGAAGATCTCCCATCAAACGAACTGCAACATCTTTGAGTTTTTGCATCTCGGAGGGATCAAAAAGTTGGCTGGTATCCCCGGCGCAAGAGGGAAGCTTCATCATGGGGTTGTTGAGACCTGCGATATAAATCTCTCCGCCTTCCCTGAGGAAGATCTCGGGGCTAAACCCGCACGACGGAGGGTGTGTGGTAAACACAGCATGGCTGCTTCCGCGGTAAACATTCTTCTCGTGTTCCATTGTATACCGAGGGGATCGAACAACCAGTGAATAGCCAGCCAAAGGTGATATATCGAATGATACCTGAGAGGAGGGGAACAGATCTCTGAGAACCTGTGGTGTCCATGGTCCCATGCTCAGAACAAGGTTCGTACACGGCATGATCGATTCCTTCTTAGAATCCAAAGACACCATTCTGATGCCAGTGATTGTACCGATTTCATCCTTGACCACTGCGGTGGCCTGGGCTGGATTATGAAGCTTAACGCCTCGGGAGACAGCGCCGTCAATGAGGAATTGACTCAACCGCAACGGATCTCTGGACACAATTAACAAACCATCCATGAACTGCTTCAATTTGGCACTCACGCTTGAGCCACTGTTTCGCCCTCACTGATCTTCTCCAGGATCCCCTCCTTCTGCATCGTCAACCATTCCGGAAATTCAATCGGAGTGATATCCCCGGATCCAGCCGCGGTCTCTGCTCTACTAGTGCCCGTTCGCAACCAATCGTCACCACGGGGACCGCCTCGCTTGCGTTGAGCAACAGTATCCAAGTTGAATGCTGTTCCTTTCATGAACCCCCACTTTTTGTCTCCGCCCTGTGCTGCGGCGAGCTCATGGTGCAAGTCGAAGGACATAGCACCTAGAGGGGCAAGAGATGACTCGAACCAATCTCTGGCTAGGAAACCTGCGGCATATCCCGAGGCTGCGGTAAAAAGCTCCGGGGATTGTTCAACGATGTGAATCTCGCCTTCTGGTTGGTTCGCAGATAGGTAATATCCAATGGAGGCTCCAATGATGCCTCCTCCGAGGATAACAGTCGACATGCTGGCTGTTGTGGGTGCAGAATTCAAATCCCTTGCCAATTGTCGAAACGAAAACTTGGTCACAATTTTTGCTTGCAGATCGGACTGTCCGAGATTGTATTCCTCGGCAATCTACGATTGCTTTCCGGTTTCCTTTGCACCGGCCCGGCAATACGTACAAGTGGTGGGATGGAATATCGGGGAGGAATTCCATGACTCGGCATATTAGATAATGATATACGGCACCCAACCTTGGAAACATTGAATACATTTGTACTATGGAGCAAGGGAAGAGCCCATCGCAAAATTTGACTCTTTTGGGCGATTGTTGAAGTGTTTCTCTTATGAAAAGTGGACCTCTCGGATCACTTCTGCAATTGGCAACGGCTGTGTCTTCTATTCGGTTCGCTGTACGACGTACGGGTTCACGATTTATTTTATATGTATATTGTACTATGTATATTCCAACCCCATCTGATAACCTCTGAAAATTTAGGTACATTCTTTAAATTAAAGTTATTTCTTAAAGTTTAGTTCTCTCCAGAGCCAAGATCATACAGTCCGAGACCAATTCATGGGGAAAGCACCTGTCTATGGACAATACCTTCAATTTCTTATTTTTTTTAATTGCAAATTAAACGATTACTTTGACTATGGCTCTAATATTAGCCTATAGATATTATATATACAGTACTCTGTATAATAAAAGGTGTACAACATGACGTCGACCTCTGCAGGGAAACCTTCCCGTCGAGACCGAGATTAATAAGCCCCGCACTAAACCTTTCGCGGCACACGGGTCTTCATATTATTATTCCTTGTCATTATTGATATTCATTAAAGACGTCTACAAAACAAATTGGAAAGTAAGTTATACTAGCTGCCTATCCAGAGTTTTCCAATGCTTGAGTTGCTGGCTTTACAAAATTGCTCAGTCATGTTTGTTCACCCATGGATATATATACCCGAGAGTCGAGACAACCCGAGCATGTTTATGGAACAAACCTCAACCCAATAAGCAATAGTTACCAAAGCCTGCTGGCGTGCATTCTCCTCACAGCTATCATCTCCGACTCGGCATCCTTTCTAGCTTTCATTTGTCGCGGTGTTGATTTTCTAAGAAACTTCATACCACTAACACCACCATAGAATTCATCAAAATGGCCAAGACCATCATTATCACGGGAGCTTCAAGAGGTAATTCCCGTCAAATTCCATGTATAGTGACATACTAACATCAACCCCCTAGGTATCGGTCTTGCTGTGGCCAAGTATCTGCTCACGGCACCTCAATCCCACAATGTTGTGGTGGTAGCCCGCAGTGTTGAACCCCTCCAAAATCTCAAGGAGCAATATGGAAAACAGGTGGCAGTCCTGAATGGCGACCTGTCAGACTTTTCTCTTGCCCAACAGGCCGTCGACACGGCCATCAAGACCTTTGGTCAACTTGATGGAATGGTCCTTAACCACGGCCTGCTAGGCCAGATCGGCAAAATCTCCGATGCTGATCCTCAACAGTGGAAGGAGGGCTTTGATATCAACTTTATCAGCTTGGTTGCTTTTGTACGGTACCTACATCAAATCTACAATTCACTACTAACAGATTCTAGGCCAAAGCGGCTCTCCCGGCTCTCCGTGAGTCCAAAGGAAAAATCATCTTCACATCGTCAGGTGCAGCAGTCACCGGTTACCGTGGTTGGGCTCTCTATGCTGCCACCAAAGCCGCCATGAACAACTTTGCCATGAGCCTGGGTGCCGAAGAACCCGACGTCACCTCCGTGTCTATCAGACCCGGTATGGTCGACACCGAGATGCAGCGTGCTCTGCGAGAGGACCATGCGACAGCATTGGACGCCGAAATGCACTCCAAGTTCACTGGAGTCCACAAGGACGGCAAGCTCCTCAAGCCTGAGCAACCTGGGCATGTCATGGCCAAGCTGGTCCTCGATGCGCCGAAGGAAATCAGCGGTCATTTCTATTCGTACGTATCCCACACAGATTTACGCGAGAAATACTAATAATTGGCAGATGGAACGACAAGGAGCTCGCAGTTTTCCAGGAATAAAGAATATCATTGATAGCTAGTATAAATTTTTTGTTCATATCTGTAATCTTTATAGCAAGTCAGTAAAGATCGCCATAGAACAATGAGTGCAAGATTGGAAGCAATGATTGTTTACAAGTCAGTCGAAAGATGAAAAGCAATACATTTTAAAAGCATTAGGCGCAGTGCACCTTCATGTTTAGCATGGAATGTAAAGGTATACATCATGTAATTGGAACTGAAAATATAGCAAAAAATTCTGCGCGTACCTTTTAAATACAGATGTAAAAGATTCCTGTCCTGCCAATTGTATTCCGTTAATGTAATTCAAGCAGAACCGAGTTCCACGCTTCCACGCTACAATATCGAGATTGGTTTGCCTGTAAATTCTTCAATAAAGTTAGCAACAGCTTAAAACAAATGAAGTGAGATGCAAATAGGCAGAATTGATATAATAGAGTTCAGATAGTCCGTTTGGCTAGGACAGGTAAGGTCACCATAGAATGTATGATAGGGGCGACAAGCAAAGTTCATCATGTAGAAATTGGAAGGGAAAAAAAAGGATTCGAGCAAGAGCTTACCATTAGTTTTTGGCCTTGGAAAGAGTCGATCTCATTTGAAGGACTCTTTCCAAGGTAGTTGGAGGAGAGTGAAGACTGATGAAAGAAGAAGTAAAATGAAAAAAAATTTGGCGCAATTTATGTGATCTGAAAGCGGTGGTATTCTGCCGGCAAGAAATTGTACTTAACTCCGTCGCGCGCCTGCGATGGGCCTTGAAACTTTGAGCCCCACGCAAAAGATCAAAGAATTAAAGCATCCCTTTTTACGCCTCTCCCATAAGATCTGGCACTTGTGCTCTATTCGCCTGTCATCAGATATCACCTGATTAGCTATGTCTGACCGAGAATTCAACTGTAAGTGGATCTCTAGATCTTGCCCGCCTACGCGCAACCTGCTGACATGTACGTGAATAGCAAACGATGACCTGTCGCTGCCCAAAGGTATGGTGCAATACCCCTCATGAATGTGTATAGCTCTTTGTGAGCTTCCTTACCTCTTCAATATTATATGCACTTGTGGCTTCACATACGCGTTTGCTAGCATTTGCTAACTTATATCTGTGATAGCGACGGTCCAGAAGATTATTACCGAGATTCTACCACCTAGCTCCGGCCAAACCTTCTCCAAGGATGCGCGTGACTTGCTTATGGAATGCTGTGTTGAATTCATCACCCTGATCTCCTCTGAAGCGAACGATATCAGTGAGAAGGAGGCCAAGAAGACCATCGCTTGTGAACATGTGGAGAAGGCATTACGGGATCTCGGCTTCAGTGACTATATTGCCGATGTACTCGCTGTTGCCGAAGAACACAAGCAGCAGCTGAAGGTATGTGAATAATATGGTTGGAATTGTGACACCTTAGATCGCAGGCTAACCTCTGATCTTCATTATAGTCACGAGAGAAGAAGCAGAGCAAGATGGAGCAAAGTGGCCTGACAGAGGAGGAGCTTCTAAGGCAACAACAGGAGCTATTCCGATCAGCGACTGACAAATACCATGCGGTCCCAGAATAGAATCACCTAAGACTCGTGCTGGTCATAGAGTGGAAAGGATGATGGCGTTTTGTGTGTGTGTTCCACCGGATATGTGGGTCTGGAGTTTTTTTTCCTGAATGGTTTCTGATTTTTTTCCCTCCTCTGCTTTGAGAGGAAGCTTTGTGGGCAGGACATACTCTCTAATTATGCGAAATCGCGCAATGCATTAGTTAATTGCATATGATTTGAATGTTTAACATGCACAACAACTCCCTAGAATGCTAAACGGCATACAACGTATATATTCAATAAAACACATGTGTGTTGGCCATGATTATGTTTGGAGGATGTCCGTGGGTCTTGTCCTGGCTAAGCTCATAGACAAAATCCTACTCAGGTCTATAGTTAACTGTTGTAGTGTACAATATGTATTGTACTGCGCAATATATTCTACCAATATATTCTACCGGTGTATTGTTGTGTCATGATCAAACCTATATTTTCGATCTGATTTGAACATGTTTTAACCATTTTTGAATCCTAGATGCAAGATAACTAACTATAAAGTACATCTAGATATGAGACTAAATATTCAAAGGGGAGGACGACAGTGATTATATTGACCGCCTGGAAATCCAGTACCGCCTTCCTGATTGGGTGTGACACTGAATTGATACCTGTTTCTATATACCGCTCACCACACCGCCTTTGTGTCAAACTACCTAGGTACCCATATAATACTAGCAAGACAGCAGATACCTACAATTTCTATATAAACCCCATACAAAAATTAAGTCACTTTTGTCACATAACTCCAATTCTAGTTTACATACATTAACCCACCTTCTTACTACCCCTTTTTTCATCACTTTCTTCGTCAATTCTATTTGTATCAAGACAGTAATCAAGCAGAAATGTACGATTTTTTTCTGGCCAAATGTAGTGTTTTTTTACTACGAATTATATGGGGCAGAATATATGGCAGAAAACTCTATAAGTGGCAGAAATGTTTGGCAGAATTCAGTATTGCACACTGCACACTGGATTAGCACAAAGTCAACCGCCCAAATGTTCGGAAAGATTATCATCCGTCCCACTCCAACTCCACTGCACGTGATTTTGATTTGCTCAAACTACGCTAAGCCATAATGGGAAGAAAGCGCAACCAACGCAATTCGAGCCATCGCGGAGCTCTCACGCGCAGTCATCATTCGTCGCAACGCTCTTCACTGCCACTGACAACGATGCCTCCTTTCAAGGATGAGCATATCTTGGTATGTTTTGTTCTTCATATTTTATTATTCAAAATTAACCAATCCATCTAGCTAATTGCGCCGGGTTCGCAAATGACCTTGGCCCAGCTCGGCCTACCCGAAACATTCACGCCCGCCCGATTTCGGTTCCCAACCCGCATGTTCCCCGCTGAGAAGAAGGGAGAATACGAGCCTTACCGTGTTCACGAGAGACGTCGAGAGGTCAAGGCCAACAATGGCACGGATGCCCCCAAGCCGGACGTGGAGATGAAGGACGCTGAGCCCGCCGCGGCCGATGGTACCACAGCCACAGAGACCACTGTCAAGACCGACCAAAATACCCAGGATAATGGCGAGTCAGCCAAGACTATCGAAGAGGTCTTCTATGAGGAGGACCTGACATCCGACGAAGGGGCAATCTATCCGATTGAGAACGGGCGCATTGTCGACTGGCCCTGTTTCTTCGCCCTGCTCACTCACATTCACAATACCTTGAGCCCACCTTTCCACACCCCTATTCTGCTTATTGGCCAGCCCGTCTGGTCCGCACGCGATCGCGAAGCAATTACTCAATTTGTCTTTGAGAAGTTCAAGGCACCCGCGTTTAGTCTTATGGACTCTGCTCTTGCAGCTTGCTACGGTTATGGTACATCTACAGCCACTATTGTCGATGTTGGAAAGGGCAAGGTCGATGTCACTGCCGTGACTGACTTCGCAGTCAACGAGCATGGTAGGGGAATCGCACTCGAGGGATGTGGTGGAGATGCTATGACCGATCGTCTTGTTGAGCTGCTAGGACCTAAGGGATTTACCAGAGAGATGTGTGAACAGCTCAAGCGAAGCAATATTACGGAGATCTTGCCCCCAGGAACCCCATTGCCTGGGTCTTCTGCTACTGCGCGCCAGGGCGCCAACCCTGCTGCTGCTGTCTCGACAGGCGGATCAGATGGAGATGAGTCTGCTCCGCGTGGTCCAGGGGACGGCACTCAGACAGGAATTGAGGGGGACAATGGTGAGGAAGAAGAGGGTGTTCTCGATGTCGCTGCGATTGTCAGCGGCAACCCTACAGAATACCTTGCCAGTGTTGAGAAGGAAAAGACAACTGCCAAGAAAAGCGCAGTTGACCCCAAGGGAGCCCGTCTGCCTAACTCGAAGAAAGAGAAGGCATCCTTTCAGTTTGAAGAGTTTGTTCAGTTGGAAGGAGAAAAGGCATCAGCCCACGGTGCTCGACAGTACATTCGTCATGCTCGGGATATTGAAGTCAGTGTTGAGCGTTTCCTTTTGACTTCGCCACGCTCTACGGTCGAAAACCGCGTGACTAGTGGTATTCTCGAGGACATTGCGACTCAGATTCACCATACCATTCTTGCCGTCCCAGATGCTACAAAACGAAGCGAGCTTTGGGACTCTTTAATTATTGTTGGATGTGGAAGCAAGGTCAAGGGTATGTTATATCATCATTATCTACAGTTTAGGTCTTTCCGCTAACATTATGACAGGTTTCACCCAAGCTTTGCTGGCTGTCATCACGCAAAAGTTCATTCTTTCTCCATCAGGCACCATCTTCACGTCTGAAATTCCTTCGAACTTCACCACCCCCCTTCCAACCGGTGCCAACACACCAGCTCCTATGGGTCAACCCGGCCCGATGTACCACCCCGCCGCACCTGGGGTGAACCCTCTCCTTGTTGCTGCTACTCACAACAATCCCGGTGTTCCCGGCACGCCCTCTATGGATCCCAGCATGCTATCTCACTACCGCTCAACCGGCCACTCACAAACTCCAACCTCGGTCAAGACTCTGAAGCCTCCTGAGTATTTCCCAGACTTCAAGGACCAGGGCAACAGCAACGCTCCCGGCGTCAGCAGTGGCAGTGCTGGGGGTAACCCAGGCGCGCCCGGCACACCCCAAGGTGGCCATGGAATGGAAGAGGCCATTTTCCTTGGTGCTCAGATGGCTGCCAAGGTTTTCTTTGTCGTTGATCAGGGCCTCAGCAAGGGTTACATGAGCCGGGTTGAGTACAACGAGAGTGGACCGTCTGCAATCCACGAATACGTCCTGTAATGCTTGCAGACTCGGTGATTTAATATTCCTACTGGTTTATAACACATTTCTTGCCCCTTCGCTTTGGTGAAGTTTGCTGGTTTTTCTCCGAATTATCTCTTTCTTGTTTTATGTACGCTATGATCCTAGGTAGAAAAGCGATCTCAGGATTCAGGCGTAGGATTTGGGGAGTTTTGTTTAATTTTGTCGGACTATTTCAATGAACCTCAGTATTTATATTCAGCTTCATTCCATATTCATTCATCCACATAAAACATCCACAACATATCCAACTATGAACATTAAATTAAAGAATCAACTAACCAATTTTGGAAGCTCAAGCAGAACTAGGCCTCTTTGGGTAATGTCATGTGATGTATTATATAATATCAGCTTATCGCGTTGATCTGCGCCACTTCCAAGCTTCCTATCACGACTTTCTTGAACCATACCCATCTTTCCGATCTCTTGACTCTCAACTCTCGTCGCTTTCTTTGAACACTTCTCTCCAATTCTTTACCAACATACAAAATGGGCCGTGCGGAGGCTGGCAGTACAAAAGCCATCGGCAACAAGATCAAAAGCAAAGGATTGGGTCGCCTTCGATGGTTCTGCCAAGCATGCGAGAAACAATGTCGAGATGAAAACGGTTTCAAATGTCATACGATGACAGAAGCGCATGGTACGGGACTCCATTCTCTATCTCCTGACCACCTGCTAACTTTGTATTAGTCCGACAGATGATGATCATTGGAGAAGACCCGCGCAAGCACATCAGAGAGTTCAGTCGCGAATTCGAGCGAACTTTCCTCGACACCCTCAGAACCACGCATGGAACTAAGCCCATCAACGTCAATCATTTCTATAATCAGATTGTGGCCGACAAGCAGGTATGTCCCTAGTCTTTTACTCTTTTCTGTTCATTCTGGCTAACTTTTTTACGTAGCACGTTCACATGAACAGCACAGGTATGCCCCGACGTAAAAGAGAAGCGAGGATTAATGCTAACCTTCGTGGCAGAATGGAAAAGTTTATCACAGTTTGCAGCCTACTTAGGCCGGGAGGGAAAATGCCGAGTCGAGGACACCGACAAGGGCTTGGTTATAGCGTGGATTGATAACAGCCCAGACACACTTCGCCGCCGGGAGGCTATCTTAAAGAAAGAACGCCAGGAGAAGGGAGACGAAGAACGAGAGCAACGCTTGATTCAGGATCAGATTAAGCGAGCCCAGCAAGCGGCGCTGGCTAGCAGCACTACGACAGAGCCAGAACCCGAGACAAGATTGTTGCAGAGGAAGGAAGGAGAAAAGATGACATTGAATCTTGGACTTGGTTCTAAGAAGACAGATACAAAGCCTGCCTCGCCTCCCACGGCAACAACGACGACAGCGGTATCGCTGGAAGAAACAGATGCACCGACGGAGAGCACCGACTCTCCCGCTCCGTCTGCGCCTCCCGCACCCGTCAAAATTTCGATGTCAATGGGCGCACAGAAGCCGAAGAACGTGTTTGCTGCGGCTAAGAAGAACCCATTGTCCGGGAAGAAGGGTTCTATTTTCACGGCTCCTAAGAAGATGACTGAACAGGAAAGGATTATGAGGGCTGAAATGGAGGCAATGGAGCGAAAGCGATCTCGTCCAGACTCTGGTTTCACGAACAAGCGACCAAAGATCACTTGACGTGCCATAGTTATCTTACATAGCAAACAATACATACCCACGGACCATATGTCTTTGAAAACA